CATAGACTGTAGACAAACTCCAAAACATAGGCCCAATGACCAATCCCAAACCATAGACCCAATGGCCAATCCCAAACCATAGACCCAATGGCCAACCCCAAACTATAGACCCAATGGCCAATCCCAAACCATAGACCCAATGGCCAATCCCAAACCATAGACCCAATGGCCAATCCCAAACCATAGACCAAATGGCCAACCCCAAATCATAGACCCAATAGCCAACCCCAAACCATGGACCCAATGGCAAACCCCAAACCATAGACCAAATGGCCAATCCCAAACTATAGACCCAATGGCCAATCCCAAACCATAGACCCAATGGCCAATCCCAAACCATAGACCCAATGGCCAATCCCAAACCATAGACCAAATGGCCAACCCCAAATCATAGACCCAATAGCCAACCCCAAACCATGGACCCAATGGCAAACCCCAAACCATAGACCAAATGGCCAATCCCAAACTATAGACCCAATGGCCAATCCCAAACCATAGACCCAATGGCCAATCCCAAACCATAGACCCAATGGCCAATCCCAAACCATAGACCAAATGGTCAATCCTTAACCATAGACCAAATGGTCAATCCCAAACCATAGACCAAATGGCCAACACCAAACCATAGACCAAATGGCCAACACCAAACCATAGACCAAATGGCCAATCCTAAACCATAGACCGAATGGCCAATACCAAACCATAAACCCAATGGCTAACCCCAAACCATAGACCAAATGGACAATCCCAAACCATAGACCCAATGGCCAATCCCAAACCATAGACCCAATGGCCAATCCCAAACTACAGACCCAATGGCCAACCCCAAACCATGGGCAATGGCCAATCAGCAGTGATTGAATTTTCAGCAGCTTTGGACATTTATCCATGTCAAGATTTTAAATATTCCAGATAAGAAATACATCAGTCAAATTCAAACACCATAACTAGTGATTTAAATTCACGGCTCATTTTACTACATATGTTAAGACTAAAAATACAGCAACCTACCATAAACATTATCCAACATTAGCATTTCTCAAACAGTTGAATTGTAAGAAAAAATTTAAAAAATTGTATTTAGGACCAATTATTTTTTTATTTTACCTCTCGAAATATATGTACTTGTTTATCACTGCCACTCAACAAGAATACTCTTTCCCATACACCATCCTGATATAATCTGAAATGAATAAATACTCTGTGTCATCACAATGTCAATGCCCTCACGTCATGAACACTTGCAGCAGTTGAACACTTTATAGTGTTTACTACTACAACTGAGTGAAACAATCCTGTCATGAACACTTTGAACAGTTGAACACTTTATAGTGTTTACTACTATAACTGAGTGGAACAATCCTGTCATGAACACTTTCGGCAGTTGAACACTTTATAGTGTTTACTACTATAACTGAGTGGAACAATCCTGTCATGAACACTTTGAGCAGTTGAACACTTTATAGTGTTTACTACTATAATTGAGTGGAACAATCCTGACATGAACACTTTCGGCAGTTGAACACTTTATAGTGTTTACTACTATAACTGAGTGGAACAATCCTGTCATGAACACTTTGAGCAGTTGAACACTTTATAGTGTTTACTACTACCACTGAGTGGAACAATCCTGACATGAACACTTTCGGCAGTTGAACACTTTATAGTGTTTACTACTATAACTGAGTGGAACAATCCTGTTATGAACACTTTCGGCAG